TTTATAATGACTTTGTTGATTATTTCCTTGAATGTCTCTGAAATTTTCTATTCCCTAATATAATTGAAATTGTGGCAATTTTTGATGAAAATGTAACCGACAACTGTCATCAATATCTATCCATCTCCAAGTTCCACATATTAGGAGGTGTAGAGGGCAACTCCTGCAAATTTGGGCAGTATTTGAGCCTGAGTATATGTAAGCAAGGAGATACTTGTTTTGTCCAGTATTTAATTTAGTGATATTCCATAAAGAGAAGGGAGGAACATGAGGTGAGATTAAGTACTTTGATTTCCATCCTTGTCCTTCAGTTTATGGCATCAATGCAGCATGATCCAAATTTAGGAGTGTTGGTTTATAGAAAATTTAGATTCATGCTAAACACCAATACAACGTTTATGACTCTTTCGAGAAATTATTGCATCAGGACATCTGATACAAATTTGCATCGATTGTCCAATAACAAAAAGATCATGTGACAATTTGAGCCCACTGACATGCAGGGTTCAGGCCCGAGTTGTCACGTGACACCTTGTTATTGGACAATTGATGCAAATTTGCAGCAGGTGTCTTGATACAAATATTGTGAATGGTTTTGGTGAATGAAAGAGGATATTAAGTTGTGATGAAATGAATGAGATAATATTAGAATAGATTAGATTGGATATGCCATCCTTTGTTCTCTTTTTGGATTGAAAAAAAAAAACTTACTAAAAATTATCGATTGGTTTTTTTTTTAATGTGATCTTACATATTTAGGTGCTATATTTATGGTTGAAACTTTTTGTCTAAACTATATAAAAATTGTGTGGTATGTATACAAATGCCCTGTGTCGCGTAGCCCGGTCTATTGCTTGACATCCATGGTATAAGACTCATCAGGTCGGGGGTTTGAATTCTCTCTGACACAGTTGGTCTTAAGGAGGTGATACTCGAATTGTTAGACACATTAGGGGTGGTTGGAGACTCATATAATAGCCTCAAATGCACCCTCATAAATAAAACAAATATTAAATAAAATAAACAAATTCTTTATTGCAATTTATTGAACATTTATCATTTTTTAATTCAATTGAAAACGAAACAAATAATGAACCAAATCTCAGCCATTTGCAAATAAAACCTCCTAAATAAAAATTTTAAGGGGCATTTACAACATAGCACACAACTCCACTGCATTTATATATCTCACATAATTTTCATATTTACACACCTAATATTTCAAATCTTTAATATCACATAAAAAACAATATTATTATCACTTCTAAATAGCATACATATTTTCATCCTTAAATTTGAAATATCAAAAGGCTTCACATGTAAATATAAAAATTTAGGTATGCCATATGTAAATACATAAAAATTGTGTGCTAGCACATAGGGTTGTAAATGAGTCAAACACGAGCGAGCCTCGTTTATATTTCGAGCTCAAAAAGTGCATTCGTGTTCGACTTGTTTGGTTAGCAAGCCGAACACTAGTCTTTCACGAACAAAGAGTCATTTTGGCAACCCTAATCACATAGTCAAAGGATGTTAAGAATTGGGGCAAAATTTAAAACATCATTTGAATCTAATTTAATAATTTTTATTATATTTTCTTCATTAATACTTTTAATTGATTATAAATCTTTGTAGCCGTGTAGCCAATTAAATTTAAAAAAAAATACTACTCATCAAAGATATACATATAATTGATTAGTAGTATTTCAAGTCAAAACGAGCCGAACACGAACGAACAAATATTTGTTCGTGTAATTCGTGCTCGGCTCGTTAGCTTAGCGAACGAGCCAAACAAGAGCTTCTTAATGAGCCGAACACAAATTATTCACGAATTTTGACAGCCCTACTAGTACATGAATTTCCCAAAATTTTAAATTAGCTGACGCGCTTTTCCCCGTTCTTTATGTTGACTAGTGCTAAGATGAGCATTGCAATCCAAAAGTCGCTTTATAAATTTCGCAATAATCGCGGTCAAAAAACGCCGGCATTAATTCTGCGTGCTTCCAAGGCGGCGAGGCGAAAAGTCTTGCTTACACATCGCACCAAATCAGGTTTATGCCAGCCAAACGTTTGATTTGTCATAATTCGGCATGTTTAATTAGCGACTATGCATGAAAATGTGGATTTAACTATTTCGCGGGTGTTGATTTGTAAAAATTAATGTTTTGATATGATATATGTAAATACACAGGAATTCTGTGCTATCAGTATATTTTCATATATTTTAATTTGTTATACAAATTAATAAAGCTTTTTTAGATGATATGACTCTCCTATCTCACTATAGACAATTAGTAATGTTGCATGTCAAAAAATTCAAAATAGTTGAGTCATGATTAACGTCTTAATGCTGAATAAAGATCTATCACACGCACAGATAAAAGAAAAGAAGTGAAAGCGAGAAACCGGAAGTTTTATGTGACAAAACTATAGAAAGAGAAAAAATAACAAGGTTTAACCCGATCAAAGTAATTAACTATGTAATAAGTCTACTTTTGTATTGAATTAGTAAAGATGGATTACAGAGCTAATAATCACAAATTTCATTTTTTGTTATAACGAATACAATAGTTGGTCATAAAAGTTGTAATTGATGGTTATAATAGCAACACTTGGTCATATAAGTCATACCCCATTCCTCCCAAGGCAGTCCTTGATGGCTTGTGCTCGGTGACAACAAGTGATGACCATGGACAACGATCGCGATGGACGATGGTTGCCCGCTCCTCTCCATAACAAGCTATGGAATGTCACTTCTTCTATTCTGCCCCTCGCCCGTTGAATGCTCTCGACGGCTAGTGGTTGGTGGTGGCAGGTGAAGAAAGGCCTATTTATAGTTATTTTAGTTGGGACATTTGGGTCTTTTGGCATAACCTCGCTAAAAATATGATCAAACGCTCCATGTTGACCCCCCATAATCATAGATGTTTTTTTTTAATAATTTAGGTGTCTTAGTGTCCTTTTAATTGAACAATCTTAGATGTTGGATTGCTCTTGTCAAGACACTTTATTCAACTATAAATATGTCAAATTTGGACTTCATTTCACAATTAAATTGACGATCTAAAGCTTCCAATTGTGCTTTAACAACTTAATTTAGGCTTTGATTGGACCCATATTGAAATTGATGAGTGTTGGAAGGTTCGTGATGGTAGAGTAAAAAATTATTGTCTTAGTTTTGCACAAAAAGCTCATTATACACTCAAGTAACTAAAGAGAAGTAAGTACAAGAGGAAACCACATTTTTTTACGTGAAAAACCCGAAAAAGGGTCAAAATCATGAGGCCTAGCCCATATTAAGTAATCCATTATAAATTGTGAGAACACTTGTCCACTCTTCTCCTAAATTAGGGAAAATGGAGTTACAAAGTTGATAATTGTAAATATACAATAATAGTCATAATTTGGCTGCAATGAATGTAGTTCTCAGCTATAGCAATTTTCAAGGGTCGTGGTCAATAGTTATGGAGGCAATAGTGTGTCGTGAATGTTGTAGATGATGACTGTAGCGCCATAGCATCTTAAATATAATAGTTGAAAGCCATGATAATAACTAGCTATATAGGTTGTTGAAGATTGTCTCAAGAACATTGGTTGACCATAAAGGTCATAGTAGAAAGCTGTAAATGGTGTGAAAGTCGTGTAAATCATAGTTGGTCATATAGGTTATAATGGTGAGTCATGATAATGTCGGTAGACCACAAATGTAGTAGTTGGGAGATGTACGAACTGTAAGTCTTGTGGGCCTTATTTGGTCATGTAGGCTGTAGGGGTGACTACAATGATGCATGTAGGCCGTATATGCTAGAGTCATGAGCTGCACTAGCTATAAACCACATAAGTTATAGTTGGTAACATAGGCCATAGTGGTCGGAGTCGAGAGCCACACGAGCTATGGACCATGTAGGTCATGGCTGCTCACCTAGAACGTAATGAGTGCTATGTATGTGATTATCTCTTCTTATTTATAACAAAGTCTTACACACACGTATATATTAGAACTAATGTTCCATGTAGGTCATGGCTGCTCACCTAGAACGTAATGGGTGCTATGTATGTGATTATCCCTTCTTATTTATAACAAAGTCTTACACACGTATATATTAGAACTAATGTTGGTTCTAGGGGGGGGGGGGGGGGGGGGGTGGGTGGGGGGGGGGTGTGGTTGTTCGGTCATAATTGGTTTGCGGGCTGGAGTGGTAGGTCGGTGGGTCTTAGTGGGTTAGCGGGCCGACAGGGCCCGACACTAGTTTAACACATTATTTGGTTGTGCCCGCACTGAATCAGACAGTGGGGTTCACACGATTTCGTGTGGCAATGGGATTCTCTCCTTGTTATAAAGTCTTTAGTTGTATTATATTTACTAGGAGCAATACTATATCTACACCATAAAAGGATTCAACACCACTCAACTCCTATGCATTTTTATATCTAACACCTAAAATTAATTTTTTACATTTTAGCACTAGAATCTTTCATTTACTATTAAAAATATCACCTTTTTTACTTAAAAAAAAGTAAAACATACATTAATTTAACTCATAATTTAGAAGGCATACATATAAAAAAATCGAAATTTACTACCCCAATATGTAAATTCGCAAGAATCGAGTGCTATCTTTGTAAATCATCCATAAAAAATCAACCTTATTTGAAATTAAAAATTAAAAAATAAGACGTGGCATCCTCTTCTTCTTATCTTAATTTGCGGCGCATTCCACATGGAATTATTCGAAAGTTTGATTTTTTTTTTTCCTCCAAAATCAAAGCGCATGTAATCCGACTCTTAACAAGCAAAGTCTTCCTCACCTATCCTTTTATTACCTATTTTATTTAAAAAAAACATTTTTTATGTAATAAAAATAAATAAATAAATAAAATCTTTATAGTTAAAACAATTTTTTATATAATAAAAAAATTAGTATACCAATTTTCAAATTGATTAAAATTCCAAAATTATATAATAAGCATTGGATAGTGTCAAAAGCCAATTTCCTCTCCCTCTCTCCTCGTCAACAAGCCTTACCCTTTAAAGCGGTTCTCTGTGATGCTCTTGATTGCTCCAATGGAAAAGGCCCCGAGATCCAAAGGCACGATTGTGCTACGATATCTTCAAAAAGCTGCAACCTTTACGATCACCAACACTCCCCACAGCCCCCGCGCCGCCGCCGGCGAACGGCCGCCGGCGATCACATCGATCATTCCGACGGAAGCTTGGCATAAAAAGCAGAACTTCAACGAAGAGCCGACGTCGCCTAAAGTCACCTGCATAGGCCAAATCAAGCACAGGAAGACGGCTGCGGAGAGGAAGAAGACGAAGAAGAAGAAGAACACGAATATCCCCTTTGCAATTACGCGGATTTTGAGCCAGAGGGTTAGACCGGATCATAAGGAGAATAGGAAGGAGAAGATCGTGGCCTCCCCTGTTCCAGCTCTCGGCCAATTGAAAAGGTTTGCGAGCAGGCGCGAGCTGTCGACGCTTGCTGATTTTGATTGGGAGAGAGAGGTGGCGGCGCTGCCGCCGGAGACTGCGGCGGAGGACGGCGTGAATATTTATCACTCTGCGCCGCTGGTGTTAGGCGGCGATGTGGTGTCGGAGGAGCATAAGGAGATTGGTTTGTGGAGGAGGAGATCTATAGCTGCCCTCAGGCCTATTCAGGTGAATAAGTGATTTTTTTTTTTTCAGTGGGGCGATTGCATAAAGGGCACCCAAATCATTGCTATTTACAAATTATGGAGGATTTGATAAAAATGAAATTTTTGGGTTTGAATTTTACCATGATGTTTGATATTTAAGGGGGAATTTTGAAAAATGGATGAAAGAGGATGGTTGGTTTGCCAGTAACAAGTTTTTGGGTGGTCTCTATGTAAATTGCCCCATTTTTTGGGATTAAATATTTATGGGGAATTTTTCTTAGCATAGAAAATAATATGAAATTACTATGTGATGTATTTTAGTATGTTGGAGGGCTAATTCCCTATAAAAGTTTTTTCCCAGTATTTTGTGTGTTAATTTGGTGGTTGTTTTCTGTAAAGTATTTTGGTTTGGTTTGTAATTAAATGTCATAAGAAGGTTAGCAGTGAATGTTGATCAAATATGATTATTACATTTTGTGTGTTAATTTGGTGGTTGTTTTCTGTAAATTATTTTGGTTTGGTTTGTAATTAAATGTCTTAAGAAAGTTAGCAGTCAATGTTGATCAAATATGATTATTAAAAAAAAAAACCAAGTTTATGGAAAACTCTCAAATATCAGAGTAGATTAGGGTCTGTCAAGTGTGTGAACTCTCCATGGTCCAGTGGGACTTTCGGTGGAGTCGATCTGTGACAAGGGCGTCACGTGATTGGATAGAGGAGAATGTCACAGACAAAAACTCCTACATCGACTAAAATGTAGGCCAAAAATTTTTATGCAAGTCCCGGGCTGCCCACCATTCTGAATAGTTCTTTTGGGAGGTGACAAGTGGTATAAAAACTATTTTAAAATTGAGATTTAATAGTTTTCTATGGGGAGAATTTCAGCCATAATGTAAATAATTTGAGAATTATTTTGACACTTTTATAAACTTTTAGAAGTAAAATGTGTGTGTCGCTCTCCCGGTCTGTTGGTTGGCATCCACGGTATATGTCTCCTCAGGTCGGGGTTTTGAATCACCTCTGACACAATTAACCTTAAGAAGGTGGTACTCGAATTGTTAGACAAGTTAGCGATGACTAGAGACTCCTATAATAGTCTTTTTATAAAATAGTTTCTAATCAACACCAATAAACTTTTTTTTTTATTTTACTTTTAATTAATAGTTCTAAAAGAAGTACTCATAATTAATTAAAAAAAAAAAGATTGTTGGTCAACAGTCTTCATGAATTAAATAAATAAATAATTTTTTTTATTAAATTCTACAAAATAGATTGCTCACCTAATTAGGTATCACAATCACCCATAATGCAATTGCAGCATTAAACAAAATAGAGTAGTGTGGGTCCACCACTGTCCAGCTTTCTCTGATGGGGATAGCAGCTCTTTAATCACCCTTAATTAAGAAGTTAATCCATACATTTAATTTAATTGCATGCAAGACCTTTTCAAAATTAGAAATTATGTCATGCTTAGTCATCCAAATTGAATTGAATGGTAGGACTTAATAGCTAAATATTAAGTAGCTATACCAAAACTTCTCCACAACTATCAAAGAGCTAAGGATTTGCTTCAATGCATTCCATATGTCACTTTGATTGCATTTGCTTGTAACACTATCTATCCATTTGATCAGAGAGATAGAGATAGAGATAGAGATAGAGACAGAGATAGAGATAGAGATAGAGAGAGAGAGAGAGAGACTCTTGAATTTTTTTACTATCAAAAGAGATTCAAAATCTTCTCTTTGCACCATTTCTTTATGGTCAAATCCATTTAAAGGTTGGGTTGGCCTTAGATATGTTATAATGCAACACATAAGATAAAAAATATATCATATAAATACAAATTAATTTACAAAATAAAATAATTGAATGTGTGGCATGTGGGTATTATCAGCGTATTCAACCTTTTGATGAATAAACGAAGCTGGCCTAATTGATCGCAAGATCTACTATTGATGTCAACCAAATTGGTATATATCATATTGGCTAAACAAGCTAATGAGATGAATTGATTGGTCGAGTTTTTTTTTTTATCAAATTGTTTTGTCAGGTTGTTATGCTAAACTAACTGATCGAATTAGCTAGTTGTGTTAATACTCGACCTGGGGCTTAGTAGCCAAGTCGAGAACATAAGGCCAGATGATGAAAATCATGCTTATATTTTCATTTTATATTACTAACATTTTCAAACCCAAAATAATTTGAGATAGTCATTGACAAATTTAAATAATATCAATTGTGAATTACCTTCTTTAAGTTGACAGTGTTACCTCTTCTTGCGTCAAATTCTAATCTATCATAAACCTAAAGTTGTTAGTTTAAACTAAAAGTGAGCTATCTACAACTAATGAATACTAGTAATTCTAAAATATAGTGACACAATAAAAAAACAAGTAATATGCATTAGACTTAAAATAAATTAATATAAAAATATTTTACTGTTTATATTATCTAATATGTTCATTCAGTGTGATTCTGATTAATATTAGTTATGTCTTACTATATCGTTCACATATATATCAATTATGATCAAATAATGAGCATTTCATTCTTATTTGTATGACAATCAATAAATGTGTATAATATTCAATATCTATGATAATTTAAATATTGATGAATGCACGTGACATTTTTAAAATATGAACAAAAATTTAATAAACCATAAATCATGAATATAGAATGATATAAATATAACTAATAACATCAACAATAAATGCATTTGGTCCAGAAGAAGTAAAACCATTATTACATTGACAAGCACCAAGGTATTGCAAAGCACGGGCTACTCAGGCAAGTATACATGACGTATCAATAGTACCGATTTTGAGTTCGGTTGTCAATCCCACAGAGAACTACAAGAACTTAATGAATGAAAAGCTCTAGCCTACTGATATCAGTCCAAGCTTGAAGAGTTTGTTTTGAAACCTCAATTTTAAACCAATCTGAAAGTTATGAAAGCACGTTTTTCCTAACAAGCAAAAAGATTCTTTTATCAAATCACATGTTGAAAAATTTTCCTCTTTAATTAATTAAGTGATGAATAGAACTAAGGATTAGATTCAAACATAGACACAATTAGAAGAAAAATTCTTTCTTATCCCCTTCCAATGGCTTAAAGAAGAGTAGTAGTCTTAAGTTTAGTTCCCTAAAACTTTTGATCTACTCAAAAGAAAATGACTCCTAGAAGATTGCATAAATTCACTGGCAGTATCCCTATTCCAATGACTTAATATTGTTAAACCTTTTTGTTTCATATAGAATCCTTCTGGATATTAATATTCACAAATTGTTTTAACAATCAACTAGCTAAGTATAAAATAAATTAAGTTCTCAAGTTAACACATTACTTTAAAATTCAAATCATTGGCAATATCCCAAAAAATAATTTGTAACGGAACTAGTTGACTTAGAGAAGTCATGACATACATTATTCTTAGACTCACTTTGTTGTGTCACTAAAAGTCCCATGCTAAATGATTTTTCATTGAAAGTTGTTGACAACTTGTTTCTAATTTTATATAGCTGATCTAACCATTCATAATCATGAAGATTCCCTTTTTCCAACATTTCAACCCATACTTGTTTGAATTCCTCTTTTGAATCACAATCACTTAAACATTTATAAAATGGATCCTGAATAGACATATTATAATTGAAACAATTCACCTTTGACATTATTTTTCTAGATATATGCCATTATCATAGTTTATGACTAGTTCGAGTAATTCTTTTTCTATGGCTCTTGACATTGCTCGATCTTAATCAATAAATATTGTTAAAGGATGTTTGTTATTCATTATACAAACAAATTCTCTGAATAACCATTTGAATGATTCAATTATCTCATTTGATAGGAAGACTACTCTGAATAGATTGTTTTGCCAATGATGGTTGACCCCAACAAGAGGTGCACACACCAAATTATACTTTTTAAGATGATAACTTGTATGAAAAATTATCACATCCTTAAAACAATCATAATCAAATCTTGACAAGCCATCACTAAAAAAACTTTTTAGCCTCCCGCATTCATCAATTTGCATATCTCACACAAACATGATATCTTCAGTTTGTCTCTCCGTGAATAATTGCATAAGAAATTACTATCACCGTTTTCAATCCTTTCCTTCCAGTCCTTTTGGATGAAATTAAGTGCATCCCTTATTATAAATCTTCCTCGCTGCCCATTTTTTGTAGCAAGACAATTAAATGCATGAATAGCTCCAATTTCTGCTTCTGTCATTGAGCTCCACACCTCTCCTTTATCTTCACTGATATGTCGATTGGACCTCAAAAGTTGTTGATCATTTGGCTTTGCTAATGGATGATTGTAACTTTCTATAATTTTTTTGACCTTCCAATTCCCATGAAGGTTCACTTTATATCTAATCATGGTGGAGCATCCCCGCCTTGTGTCTGATTTATGAAATTTAACTGTGCTAATATTTTTAGTCTCTCTCTTGAAACCAGATTTAGCGCACAGAAAGGCTTTTGTTTTTATGTTTCTAGAATTTGGTCGATAACTAATATAGTCCTTCCTAACACTAAATCCCGTGCAGTGTGCATAACTATAATACAAGGCATAAGCCTCACTTTCATTGTGAGCAATGGTAGCAAGCAGTTTGTCTGCAGTATGTTCACCATGAAAATGAATTACATCATTCAGGCATACCTACAAACGAAGGACATATTCAACACCATATTTATTGTTTAAAATCTTCCTAAAACATAATTAAATGATTAAACATAAACAACTAAGTATAAATATTGTACGGAAATCAGAGTACATATCAATAACAAATTAATTGAAATAAAACATTCACGATCAAATGCATTTATGAATAAACATTACCTAAGCTTTCATACTTTGCATTTCTCACCTTCCAACAGAGTCTCAACTTAGGAATCCACTTCAGTGAAAAGACCATACATAACATGTTGCACTATAATTGAGTCCTATGTTTTCAAAAATTTTCTTAAGGTAGTCAAATGAAAACAACATGGGGATAACTCATTACCACTGTAAGAGGCACTATGTATAGTTTTCTCCTCAACTAACACCCAATGAGAACCAACTAACAAGATTTAATTATAATTTAAATTTTATCTTTCGCTTAGACAATATATTAATGAGGAACTCAAACATAAATTTTTTAAACTAGCATATATCAGGTATCTGATAGTCTTAAAACATGACTTAACCTCAATGAACAATGCATACACAACATGTAAAATGCTATTTTATCACTTTTTGATAATAGTTTTTTTTGATAATAGTTTAAGAAAAAAAAAAAAAGTTGGACAATTTTCTTATGTGTATCACAATAAAGCTCACTTAATGCACAAATTCAATGACACATTTCACTAAGCACACAATACACATCATAAAAATTGAT